TGCCTGCAAACCGTCCTGCTAACTTAAAGTGCTGACTACGGTGTTTTTGAAGGTCACGGCTTATTTGAAGGCAGGAAAATAGTAAACACGGGTATGACTAAATTTTGTAAGGGCGGGTAAAAGGATTGTATGCGGTGACTTCAAATAACATTGTAATTGCTACACCGTTTGTTGTTATTCCTGATGGTATTATAGGATGGATACTAAATTGGTAAAGAAACTCGGAGTGATCCTTGAAAACGGTTACGATAAATGAAAGTGATAACTACAAGTGTATGTGATGGTCACACACTAGTTGAATCCAGGAATTTATGAAGTGTAGGTGAAGTGTGAGAGCATATGCTATGGAGAGAAGAAAGTGGGTTTGTGGTTAACATGTGGTTATCAAAGTTGTACAGAAGTAAAGCTAATAGTTAATGGAACATAGTGCTTTGAAATCTGTGATAATAATTGTCCCTCTGATGATTGTAAATGTGATATTTCTGTGAGTTCACGTTCAAAGAAGGAACAGTTGTTTTCCAGTGATTTTATTTGTGCTGCTGAAATGGAGAAAACTGGAACTTGCATACCACTGGAAAATGGACGTTATATGGCAAGATTTCATAGAAATACCGTATTGTACCATAATGTGACCATTCGCGTATCTGTTTGCTGGTATCATAGAAGTTGGCGCAACATGGTAATGGGAATGAGTGCTGAATATTTCAGTTAAGGAAACGGCCAAAGGTACGGTTAAAATAAACAGTAGGGGTTGACGTATGCTGTTATTTAAACGTATATACATAATTGCACACGCATAGCATAAGAATATATACATTTATATAGGAGCCTGCATACAAAAGAAAACTACATATGGTTGGCGGCATCCGGTTTCGGATTTGTCTGTCACTGTGACCAGCCACAGGACGTCTGCGCCTACAGAGGGTCCATGGATGGCTTGCGCTGCACCACCCACAGCTCCATCCACACACCCCATATCCAGTGTAAACTCGAAAGAATAAGACCGGGAGGCATGTGGATGCGAGCCACGTTTCATCAACTGAGCCGGCTCCCCCTCCTTCACAGATAAACACAAGCACACTATATTTGGGGAATCAAGCGCACACAAGGCGGTGGCTGGACCGTAGTCCGCTCAACACTGAGTGCATGGAACCACTCTTCGAGCCAAGAACTTCCACAAGGACCGTGCACCCCGTCCCCTCCAGAAACGACCAACTGTCTCCTGGAGCCAGATGGACGAAGTAGTGTGTAATAGACAGGTGGGCACCTTGTCAACATGCCCATCAAGCGCAGCTACACTTGGGATGTCAAACAACAGTCACTCATTCGAAATGCTGACATCGAATAAAGTAAAGCTATAAGAGGACATAAATACTCGCTAAAGGAGCATATGGAAGAAATTGGTTACATGTGAATACGCGATAAGTACAAAATGTCCGAAAGTTATTTAAAAATACCACGCAAGAGAATTACGCAAGTTTACCACGATTTGCGTGAGCGACGTGTGTAAGTTGGGAAAAGATTAGCAAGTAGGCAGAACAAAGGTAAAGTAAAATGTAATGAATTTTATCCACATTAAAAAACCTAGTTTAAGCGTAAGTTGGTCTAGCCCAACTGCCAATGTTGACATGTTCGGAATTACAGTTAGGTACAATGTAGTTACTTTTTATATTTCTCCAAAGCTGGATAGATACGCGTTATATATATATATATATAAGAACATGTGAATATATATTTATATAGGGATGTACACATAGATTAATGTAACCTGTAGTGGAAAAGCCAAACGGAAAGGGCTTAACTACATATAAGAACTCAGTCTATAAATAAGAATGCTGTGGCTGACCTTAGGTAAAGCACGATCCTCGCTAGGCTGTCAGTTAGTCGCACAATCTGGTCGGAAGACGGAACTTAGTCGGCACAATAAATCGACGCGTTAGATCCGATGACCGATGGACGAAGCCAGCAGACAGACGACGACCAACAGCACAACACGCGTAGCGGCAACCAGAAGGCGAATCGAAACCCGAAAAAAGGTGTTGTATCGGTCGTTGGTCAGTTAAAACAAAACTGTACAATAATAATGGAAGTGAGAATAGGAAAGTACAATTGGGAAGAAAGATATGTACAAGCGCTACAGAACTCCCCCCCTAGAGCGTGAGTCACTGAGACGAAAGCTCGATACTTGGGTGTCATTTACCGTAGTCTGGAAGGGAGAACAACTGTACGTCCGAAGCGTGTTCGATGATGCGATTTCGAGTTTGTGTCGTGAGGTGCTTGGGGTGCAGAAGAGGTAACAGAGGTGTCAGACATGGGCTGAGTAGGAGGCGTACTTGGGAAGGTGGGCTGGTCGGTGACAGGAATGTCTGTGGGTTTCGGTATAGATCGCGACTCGATGTACGCCGGCTTCAGGCGGTCAATAGACACTGTATCCTGATAACCATTTCTATCCAGCACGAAGTACTTCTCTTTCCGGGCAACAACCTTGAAGGGGCCCTCGTAAGGCGGTGTCAGAGGTTTACGGACGGAATCGACACGCACGAGAACGAAGGGGCAAGTGCGTAAATCCGGGTGTACCTGTTGACTCCGAGGACTGATTCGAGGTGGCGTTGGACGAATTGTACTGAAGTGCTGCCTCAGGCGTGTGACGTATGAAGTCGGATCAACTTCTCCAGTAACCCTTGAGTCTAGCACCATTTCTCCAGGAAGCCTGAGAGTAGTGCCAAAGACCAACTCAGCGGGACAACAACCAATGTCTTCTTTAATGGTGTTACGAATACCAAGCAAGATAATCGGTAGACGTTCTGACCATTGTGAATTCGACTGTGAAGCAGTAAGCGCAGCTTTAAGTTGACGATGGAAACGTTCAACGATGCCATTAGCAGCTGGGTGATAGGCGGTTGTCCGTAGGTGGGAACAACCGAGCAAGCGGTTCATGTCACGAAACAAGGCCGAATTGAATTGGGAGCCCCTATCGGTAGTAATAGTGGCTGGTGTGCCAAAGACGGAAATCCAATTCTCAATGAATGTTCGCGCCACCGTTTCTGTAGAAGCATCACGTAAAGGCACGGCAAGTGGCCAACGCGTATAACGATCAACACATGTCAATAAGTAGACAAAACCGTTGGATGGAGGCAAGGGTCCAACGATGTCAAGATGAACATGTTTGAAACGAGCGTCGGGAAGGGCAAACGTGCCGGGGACGGTAATCGTGTGACGGTGGATCTTGCTGGTTTGGCAAGTGATACAATGTTTGGCCCACTGCTGGATCTCGGAGCGCATGTTGTGCCAAATGAAGCGATCGGTGATTAGCTTGACGGTGGCTCGGATGCTCGGGTGTGAGATTCCATGCAGGTGGTCAAAGACGATTCGGCGGTACTGCTGAGGGACAAAAGGCCGGGGCTTGCCAGTGGAAATATCACAGTAAATTTTGGAGTCTGAGTTAAGAATTGGCAACTGTGAGATTTTGATCGACGGATTTGATCTTAGTTGCACAAACTCAGGATCTCCTTCCTGATGAGCTGCTATGTCTTCTAAGTTAATCTTCTGCCGTGAAACTTCGTGAAGACATACACGCGACATGGCATCGGCGACAACATTATTGGCAGCATCGACATGGCGAATGTCGGTAGAAAACTGTGAAATGTAATCCAAATGACGAATTTCTCTGGGGGAGAAACGGTCGGATGAACCACGGAAAGCAAAAGCAAGTGGTTTATGGTCTGTAAGAATGGTAAAAGTGCGACCTTCAAGCAGATGCCGAAAATGTTTGATAGCAAGGTAGATAGCTAAAAGTTCTCGTCCGAATGTGCTGTATCGCGTCTGTGCTGGCTGGAGTTTGCGGGAGAAAAAGGATAGCGGCTCAGGTTGACCGTTGATTACTTGCTGGAGAACAGCCCCAACGGCGGTCTGAGATGCATCAGTCTTGAGGATCAGAGTGGCGTCAACATCAGTCCTCAAATGACTAAGCGCGGTAGCGTTGGACAACGCGTGCTTGATCTTGTCGAATGCATCGATAGCTTCCTGAGTTGGCTCGAATTTCCGTGACTTGCCTTTAAGTAAATCGGTCAATGGCTGGAGTAGCCCAGAGCAATCTGGTATGAAACGGCTGTAGTAATTCACCATGCCGAGAAAACGACGGAGACTTTTGAAAGATTGAGGCATGGGATAGTCTGCAATCGCTTGTGTTTTCTCGGGGAGTGGACTGATGCCATTGCAATCAATTCGGTGGCCCAAAAAATCAACAGAACTTTGGCCAAAAACACATTTGTCAACATTGATCGTAACGCCGTACTGAACAAAGCGTTCAAAGATCGATCGGAGATGTGACAGATGCTCATCATGATTGGAACTGGCCACAAGAATATCGTCAATGTAGGCGTAGACGAAGTCGAGCCCTCTAAGAACTTGATCGATAAACCTTTGGAAAGTCTGTGCGGCATTTCGTAGACCAAATGGCATGCGAACGAATTCATAAAGACCAAATGGTGTGGTTATAGCGGTCTTCGGAATATCGTCAGGAGCAACCGGAATTTGGTGGTATGCACGCACCAAGTCAATCTTAGAGAAAACTGTTCTTCCATGTAAACCAGTTGAAAAATCATGGATGTGCGGAATCGGATATCTATCGGGGACGGTGGCATTGTTTAATGCACGGTAATCTCCGCAAGGTCTCCAGTCGCCACTGGACTTTTTGGGAACCATATGAAGCGGGGAGGACCATGGGCTATTGGAAGGACGAACGATACCGAGACGAAGCATATGTTCGAACTCTGCCTTGGCAGTAGTAAGCTTGTCTGGAGGTAATCGTCGAGGTCGGGCGGTTACTGGCGGTCCATGTGTTATGATGTGGTGCGTAACTTCGTGCTTAGGCTCAGGAAAGTCATTAGGCGATTGACAAAGAGCAGGAAATTGCAGTAATAGTTTGGTAAACACATTGTCGGCGGGCAGTGCCAAGCGAAGACCGATCGAACTGATCGAAGTGACTTTACCCGAAACAGACAAGGATGTCAAACTATCGCATAGTTTACGGTTACGCGGGTCCACGATCAGGCCAAACTTGGTAAGAAAATCAACACCAAGGATGGGGCGTTGGACGTCAGCGATGAGGAAAACAAAGGGAAAACTTCGACGAAGACCAAGGTTAAGAGTCAACATTTTCTGGCCGTATGTATGGATCTTGGTATTGTTCGCCGCCTGCAATGTCAGTCCGGTTGGAAATAGGTTGCGTTTTTCTGCAGAACGAGGAATAACGCTGACCTCGGCACCGGTGTCAACCAAGAAGTTCAAATTGGTTGAGGAATCGTAGACGTAAAGTAGGCGACTGTAAGATTGGCCAGACGCAGCCGTCGCCATCACTGGCTGGCGTGGAAGTTTCCCTGCTGCGGTTTGTGGAATGCCTTCGGATGGTTACAACCAGGTCGGCAATTCCTTGCATCATCGCCAAAACGGTGGTGGTACCAACAGAAATGACGTTTGGAACTCCTGGCGGGGCTACGTCTGCTTCGAGAGGAGCGTCTAGGGCTTCTACCACGGTAGCGATTAATGCTCGAGATGGCGAGCTCCAGCTTCGATAACCTCTCAGAAATGGTTTCAATCGGGTCAGTTCTAAGATTCGCGTTAGTGGTCGACTCAACTGCGTGACATGCTGAGGGTTGATGAAAGTGCTCATGAACTTTGTCTGCTGTTTCAGCCAGCTTGTCCAAAGACAAATCATCTGCGAAGACGGCGAGAAGAGCTGAGGTGTTCGATGGAAGGCATTTCGTCCAAAGCTGTCGCAGAATCGTGTCATCGAGCTTACAGGTACCGACCAACGTACGCATGTGCCTGAGAAGTTGTGACGGCGTGCGATCGCCTAGTTCAAGACCGGAAAGTAATTGTCGAAGTCTAGCTTCGTCGGAGGCCGTAGTGCGCTTTAATACGGCGGCTTTGAGTTTATCGTAAGGTGCGTCAGCCGGAATCGGATCGAGCAAGTCTATAAGGTCAGTTGCGATGTGGGTAGGAAGCTGGGAAGTGACATGTGCGAACATTAAGGACTGAGAAGTAATACGACGTATGCGAAAAAGAGCTTCCAACTGTAAAAACCACACGTGAGGATTAGAAGAATCGAAGGTAGGGAAGGAAAAACCAACAAAATTTTCTGAAATGTCAGTGCGGGGATCGTGGTCCGACATAGTCAAGTCACAAAAAAAAGGAGTTCTGAGCTTTCAAAAAAAGAAAACGGGGTCACCAAATATGTAGTGGAAAAGCCAAACGGAAAGGGCTTAACTACATATAAGAACTCAGTCTATAAATAAGAATGCTGTGGCTGACCTTAGGTAAAGCACGATCCTCGCTAGGCTGTCAGTTAGTCGCACAATCTGGTCGGAAGACGGAACTTAGTCGGCACAATAAATCGACGCGTTAGATCCGATGACCGATGGACGAAGCCAGCAGACAGACGACGACCAACAGCACAACACGCGTAGCGGCAACCAGAAGGCGAATCGAAACCCGAAAAAGGTGTTGTATCGGTCGTTGGTCAGTTAAAACAAAACTGTACAATAATAATGGAAGTGAGAATAGGAAAGTACAATTGGGAAGAAAGATATGTACAAGCGCTACAAACCTAATGACCATGCTTGGGCGAATGTTGCATTCTGGGTTTTTTCTCACCATAGTTGGTTGAAAACAGCTTACAAAAAGGGTGTAGTTTTAAGCAGCATACATTTTATTTCATTGATCTTTGTTGTTTTGCAGTTCCAGAATATGTTTGTATTAACGTACGCGTCGCATACGCTGATGGTAGGGATGTTCGTTAACTGTTGTCACCTAACTGGAATATTTTGTGTGATTGGTGGACACTTTCTATTTATCGCAGTTTACTTGCTACTCAAACTTACTGTGGGGGAGCGGATGCAGGACGTTCGGTCCATGCTAGGCTAGATGGGTGATTTCATTTACCGAAAGGGGAGCTGTTATCTCAAGCGGGATATTAGGGTGATTTCGCATGGAATCGCAAGCGTGATGGAAATCATCGCTCTGCTACTGAATGTATACGTGACGGTGCAAGGAAATTTCAATGGTATACGTGGAGAAAAGGGAACGGTGTGGAAATATAAGAAATGAGATTGCATTAGTCATATGGATTCCAACAAGTGAAACATCGGGAGACGGCCAATAATCGATAATCATAGATATCTCGGAATCACTGCTAGGCAAGAACCATGATATGCTGCTATTGTATAAGGGCACTGGGAACCTGAATGCTCATAGCGCACCCGTGCCATAATGCTGATAGATGTTGAAGAAAAGGATACAGGGAGAACAACGAAGGGAAATTAGTTTGCATGGGTTTATGGGAGGAGGAAACATGCACGTAAAATATAAACTGGATCGTCGCTCAGGCACAATCAAAGTGCTCAAGCGTATGCCGCGGATGGTTGTAAAGCGTCACGTCAGCAAAGCGGATCACTGAGTAATGAGGTATAGGTGCACTGGCCAGCTGCAGGTGCATTCGAATAAAGAAACGGGTGACATGTGCCACGTTGCCATGGCAATGGAGTATGAGCAGGAATGATGGGAAAAAGTTTGACTGTCAGGCATCAACTGTGCCGCTCCTTTATGTTTGAACTTACTTGTGGAAGGCCATAAGATGTAGGAGGTGACGTGGTAGCAGCGTTGTGGCGTACAAAGTTGAAAACGACACACGTATGGAGCATAAGAACGGAAGATAAACGGGTCGATGTCCACGCTAATCCTAATGTCAGCGTCATGGTTGGGGAGGTGTCCAGAGACGCGCTCTACCCACTAAACAATGGTCGGCCCTCAAGAGGGCCGTTTCCGCGTCCCCTTGATGTAGGCCCTAAGGTGGACTATGGTTGCGTTCCCTTGTTTGTAGTCAATGAACCGGATAGAACCGTTGGATATAGTGACGGTGTATTGCCTAGTGAAGGTTAGAAGATGTGTGCATACTTACCTGATGCTACTTTCAGGCTCATTGCGGGCGGCGCATCGGGCATGGTGGACAGGTTTCACTGGAGACGGGGGAAGTGGGCCACAGGAAAGGCATGCCTGACATGTCTCTGTGCGTGCGGGGTATTGGCGGGTATACCATATGAAATTGCAAGTAAAACGAAAGGAATGTCCACTTAAGTAAACTAAAAGTCGTCCAAAAGACCAACGACGTATGGACACCAGTGGACATAGCTCACATGCCAATCTGCGACAACTAGGAACGGTGAATATGCGGTAGAGGGTGGACGGATTATGCAGCCTGGGAAACTAATTACCACACGACGGCGATGGGAATACCTACTCAAAGAACGCGTAGCCGTAAGCAAATGGCGGATCTCAAACGGGGTTGAGGTTTCTCACATGCGATCGTGAGACCTGTGGGATGCAAATGCGGTAACCGGGTTGGCGGTGAGATGTGGACTTTGAGATTAGCTCTAGTATGAAAGGGACATAAAGGTAACATGGAATGAAAACTAAGGAACCATAAAGGAGAGCTCAACCATAGCTGACTTTGCTGACATAACAGCGGAAGGCAATTGAGTGTGGTTAAAAGGTGGCAAGGAGGTAGACGTCAGATTTAGTCTAGGTACTGAAATGTAAGAGTAAAGTAATGACCACGTACCGAAAGTGACTAGCGGCTAAAAGACGAAGGAGTAGGGAACCATGGCGGACTTTCCTGACATGCCACCAAAGGAACCCTTAGTGGAGGTGAACAAAAAGCAAACTGAGTGTCAGCAGAATAAAGTCTATGAAAGGAAAGTTATGACGAGAGCCATGAGTACCTACGTTAAGCTGTAGCCGCAAAGACGAACAAATGATGAAACATGGCAGACGTTGCTCACATACCAACTGGGGACAACTGGGTGCGGTTAAGAAGTGGATATGCGTGGATAACAGGCGCAGTCTCTGAAATGGATTGTAAGCGTGAAGAGATGACCATGTACCGAAAGTGAATGGCTGCTAAAATATACAACTTGTAGGTGCACCCAGAGCGGCGCCTCGGGCTCGGTGGACTACCATCACGGAGAGCGGGCTGACGTTGCTCACAGGCACGGCAGAGGCATCAGGACGCGGTGGACAAGTGACGCATGCAGTAGACAGGCGGACAGAGGTTTAAAGACACGGAAGCAACGATAAAACAACAGCCGTGCACACCAATCTGAAGTAATCGGCATCTAAAACGCCAGCCGGGATTTAAGGTGGGCGTACCTTGATCACATACCACCTGGAGGCAACGTTAGGTAAACAAGCGGCAAACGGAGGGTGCAGTCTAGGTAGGAAATCATAGGACAACAGCGATGCACCCTCACCTCAATTAAATGACGGTTGAAACTCCAACAATGTTTCAAGCTAGGTTGACGTCTACAGACGCTGTAGAAGTATCAGAGCGAAGCGGACAAGTGACATTTACGAAAAACAGGTGGGGCCGGACCGTTTGCAAAGTAAGCAGTGGTTGACGAAACGGGGCAATCGAGGTATAGCGGCAGGAGAAAGCAATGGGTAATATCGTTCCAAACATTTACTATTCTTCCCGACTTCGCGGGTGAGCGTGGAAATCGCTAACAACCCAAAAAGCGTGCACTCTGAGAAATGGTAGCACTTTCTCCGAGACAGTCTTGCTATGTGCCACACTCACCGGTGAAAAAGCTATTGGCATCCGGGGTTCTATATGTGCCAGGTGTAAATGTAAAAGCATGGACGGACAGTGGCATCCACGCCGGCTGTCTAAATGCTGCATCACTGTAGGCCATTCAGTTACCGGATTTGAATGGGAGGATATTATCAATAGGTACCGTAAGAGGATGGAAGATGGTACTGCGAAGCAAATGACAAAGGGGAGCATTTGAACCGGGTGTCGGAATTTACGGCCCTGCAGGGTGTCAACTTACTGACGAAAGGTAGAACTAATTCATGCTTCCTGGCAGTTAGAAGCGGTATGGCACTGTGAAATCATGTAGTGCGAGGGGCATGCGCAGTATCGATCCACATGTCACACGTAAGATGGGTCACTTACATGAGGTGAACCTGGAGCGAAACTCAACGGCGCTTGAGTAGTGGTGGCACTAAGGTACTACCAAAGAATGAATCAGGGCGGCGGATATTCACTGATGGTTTAAATGCACTTGAGTTCATGCTGTGCATGGATCAGGGTGGCTGTGGTAGAAAAGCCTAATGGATTATTGTAGGTGGATGCCATTCGGCCTTGGACTTTGACGGAGCACAGTGGCACATGCGCACTGACTGCCTGAAACTTATAGCACTGTATGTTATTCACTTACCGTATTTGAATCGGGCGACCAAATGTTATGTTCATGGTAATAGGAGGCTGCATGGTACGGAGGCGTCTTTGAAGGGGCCGCATGCCTACCACTGGCCTAGAGGCCACTTATGTTGGGACTGCGCGATTAGCATAGGTGAACTAGATGACCTGGACACTACAGTTAGCGTTCACAAGACGACCTGCAAAATATGTAATCGCTTCCTGATAATGGACTGCCTTACTTGGAGTGCGCC